AATGTTTCCTTGATTCTTTGAAAAGTTGTTTCCCAAGAAAATCCCATATTTTCTTATGAAAGAGGTTTGATTTCCCATTAGTTATATGATAAACCATCTGTTTATGAAAGGTTGAGTTATCTCAAGAAAATACTATATTTTCCTAAAGGTTGATAGTTGATTATCCATACGCGAGTATCTACCATACTCGGACAGCAATTTTCTTTTCGAAGCTCTGGTTACACCCAGAGGAGTACATTAGCCGTATTTTTGAAGCTCTAGTTACACCCAGAGGAGTACGTTGGCCGTATTTTTGAAGCTCTGGTTACACCCAGAGGAGTATATTAGAAAAGTAAATTCTCGTTACCTAAGTTGTGAGTGCCATAACCGTACTAAGACTGGATAAGGCGCGTAAATGGGCCAGTATCTTTTATGACTTTGTCACCCCTGAACCAAATGGTTCCGCTGTAGCTAGCAGCGAGGGTGTGGGATAGTCAGTCCCATATAGATCTATACACAAAAGTCACGCTCTCCCTCCAAGAGATTCTGGTTATAACTCGTAGTCCTCCACTCACGAATCCGGGGGAGTGTTACCGAGGACATGTCTCAAACTTAGCCTAACGAACTTACAAGTAACAATGTTGAAAATCCTGTTTATAATTTGCGTGAATCCTTTATGAAATAATACATACTATGATAAGGTTCACAAGTTCCTTTCTTTAGATTTGAAAACTGTTTCTACGAGTTGATTTCTAAATCGAGTGGTAAAACGGTTTTCTGTGTTTGAAAGCATACTGAACATGAAATTATTTTAAACAAAATAATATATTTGAGCACAAGTTTCCTTGTACTTGTTCTTGTATCCCCCCCCCCTGAAAACATGAAAAACTCGGAAAAGTATAGGCGTATGAACTCACAGTTTATCGTAGGATCTGAAAGCACAATTGGTTACGAGTGTTGAGTGTCAACCTATGTTTCATACGCAAGTGGATCCTATTAACATATGATAACACATATGTGTGTTAGAATTAGGGTGTTTCATGGCTAAACATGACTGGAAATCACCCTAAAGACTTGGAAATGCTTGTCGGGACCCTATATGATCAAATAAGGGAGGTATACGGCCATTTGAGTGGGTGTGCGGCCAGGTTGTGTGTGCGGTTGCACACAGGAGTGTGCGGCCGTACAGAGGGTGTGCGCGGCCGTACAGAGGAGTGTGCGGCTGTACACAGGAGTGTGCGGCCGTACACTCCTCATTTGTGTCCGAAATGTCGATTTTGAGGTGTTTTGAGGTGTTCTAGTCTTTAGGAGAGTCTTTAGGGCATGTACGGCCACCTTATGAAGGTGTGCGGCCGTACACCTTCAAAGGGTGAAGAACACAAAGAACACAATGAGTTTTAGGCTTAGATTCAGGTTCCTTACCAAGATAACAAGCTGAAAGATGAAGTGGTTCGCGTTTTTGAGGCCTTTAGAGTGTTCTTGGGTGAAGTTCTTAGAGAGAGAAAGTAGAGAGAGAGAGAGTAGGGTGAAGCCAAAAGAGGAAAAGAGTGAATGAAGGGGGTCTCCTCCAATATATAGGGTCGGGTGTGAGGTTGGAGGGTGTGTGCGGTTGGGTGTGCGGCTGGCTGGCCGCACACGCGGGTGTGCGGCCGCACACACCTTCTTTGATGTGTTTGGCCTGATTTTGTGATGCTACACACTTTCTAACCCTTCCTAAGATTCATATCCATGTTATACTAAGCATAGAATACTCATATAGACCCATAATTTCGTTAAAAGATGATAAATTCGAGTTTAATATTGATATACAGATCAATTACACAGGATAAAAGTTTAGGGTTGTCACATTAATTGCGATAAACCCTAATTTGATTAATTCACCAATTATAGCCAATTCAATTGAAAAAAAACCTAACGATCTGATACGACTGATGAGTTTTAGATATTCCAAAACAAACTTAAAACTCTTAAGTATGCATGCAACCTAAAACAGGATCTATGTTTTCACTATTAAATCTATAACTATGCACATCAAAATAAGAACCCTAGAAACCCTAGGTTATTTTAAAAAAAACATAAAAGGGTTTAGGATTACATACCTTATTGTTATTATAGCAAATAACAATGATCCTTATGTTGTTGAAGCTTTGGAAGCAAGCACCACAAGTTTCGTGCCTCTAATGGTTAACAACCAAGCTAGCAAGAAGGATATTGAGCAGAGCGGAGGGAGGAGGTAAGAAATTCGGCCAACCCTTGGGAAATTATGAGTGCCAAAAATCAAAGGCATAGGGGACTTTCTGTAGTGCAGCAAGGAAGTCATGGATAATCCTAATCTGAATATAATAGTAATATTTCAAATTGGTAATTATCCAACTCCATATTTATCCACATGGGATATTCTAGAAACCCTATAATATCCCCTAGAAACCGTCCACCCACTTAGTGGAAAGTTCTAGAGCCATTTGCTCGACTATCGAACAATTGCACTTTAGACCTGCACTTTCAATTAATTCTTTTAATCCCAAAATTAATTCCAATTAATTTCCGATTAAATATTAATTAAATGATACTATTTCTAATTAATATATTATTGTCATTATATATTAATAAACTATTTATTTCAATTTATTAATCAAATAATAAATCAACCACTCTCTCCAAAAATCATCCTGTCCAGTTGTTAGGTTTGAGGGTAATCGAAAAGGACTATTCTACTATCAATTTAAGTTTATACGAATTATAGTTATGGTCTTAGACACCTAATCCAACACAAAGTACCATCATTCATAATACAAAATGGAATCCTATACAAGAAGGGATACCTAGCACCTAGGCTATGATGTGTATGCGTCCACGAAGCAGAATACCTTATAAATGAAATGCATGAAGGAATAGCCGGAGCACATGAATGAGATAGAACAGTTGTTCACAAACTATCTAGATTAGGATGTTATTGGCCGACTATGTATCAAGATACAGAGGATATCATTTATAAGGGTGAGAATTGTCATAAACATGCACCAATACCATGGAGAGCGACATCACCAATGATTAGCATCAACAACCCATGCCTATTTGCGTAATCGGGCATTGCCATAGTGGGACCATTTCCCAGAAGCACCGGGAAAATTAAAATTCTTACTAGTATAAATAGACTACTTTACAAAATGGGTGGAGGAAGATCCGCTAGCAACAATAACCATACACAATATTATCAACTTCTTTTGGAAATAAATTATATTCCGATTTGGAATACAACACACACTCATTTCAGATAATTGGACCTAGTTTGCCAACAATCCATTTCGGGAGTGGTGCGAGGATATCCGAGTTAGCCAAACGTTCATAGATCTACCTCACCTAGAAGCAATGGCAAAATAGAGGTGACCAATAGAATAATAGTCTATAGTCTGGAAACCTAATTAGATGCAAAAAAAGGATAACAGGTAGACGAATTACCTAGCGTATTATAGGCATACATAACAACACCGTGAATAACGACGAAAGAGACACCTTTTAGTTTATTGTACGTGTCAGAAGTAGTGATATCATTGGAATTAACGGTTCTCACCGAATGAAAAATGAACTTCAATCACGCCAACAATGACAACGGATTAAGAACAAACATGGAGTTATCGATGTAATGGTGGGCAATTGAAGCAACACGATAAGAGCACTAGAAAAAACATACCGAAAACCACTACAACAAACGTGTAAAGGGTAGATTTTTTAAGGTGGGAGAATAAGTTGTAATAAACAATGAAGAAAACCGAAAAGAACCACAAGGTAATCTAAGAGCAGCGTGGGAAGGTCAACATAAAATATATGAAGCATATAGGGACGAATCGTACATCTTGCAAACAACAGATGGAGAAATAGTGCCTATGTCCTGGAATGTGAAAAATCAAAATAATTCTATGCGTGAAAAGGAAAATACCACGTGTAAAATTCTTTTTGAAACCAACACTCCACATAACCTATACGGGGCAAACGACAACCCGCTAGGCACGTAGCATAGTCTTGATCCAAGTTATACCATAGCATATTCAAAGAAATATAACCTACACATGGAAAATGACAACCCGGTAGGCATCTAGCATGGTCTTGACTCAAGTCATAGCATAGCATATCCAAAGCAATATAACCTACGTGGGGCAAATGACAACCATGTAAGTGTGTAGCATGGTCTTGACTCATTTCATACCATCGCATATTCGAAGAAATATAACCTATATGGGGAAAACGACAACCCAGTAGGCATGTATCATGGTCTTTACCTACGTCATACCATCTCATATTCAAAGTAATATAACCTATATGGGGCAAACAACAACCCGGTTGGCATGTAGTTTAGTCTTGACTTGAGTCATACCATCGCATATTAAAAGCAATATAACGTATACGTGAAATAAGACAACTCGTTAGGCATGTAGCATGGTCTTGAACCAAGTCATACCATAGAATATAATCTATATGGGCACAACGACAACATGGTAGGCACATAGCATGGTCTTGACCCAAGTAACACCATAGAATATCCAAAGAAATATAAACTACATGGGTAAAACGACAACACGATAGTCATGTAACATGGTCTTGATCTAAGCCATACCATAGAATATTTAAATGCACTCTATCGTGCACAATATAACGGAAAACCTGGTAGACACAGTTTCGCCCAATCACGTCAGAACATACATTGCGTATAAGAATTAAAACAATAGCCCAATGAAGTATGATCCCATCATACTTAACAACAAGAACCTTAAAAACCACCTAAACGTATATCAAAATGACTCAAAGTGTAGTCAAGCATGCGACACGAGCAAAGAAAAGATGAGTTACATGGATAAAACATGAAAAGGATCATCGTAATTACCAAGTAGACACAAAATAGGGTAGTAGAGAACAAGGAAAAGAAAACCAAATTGGTTATGTTTGTAAATAACCACGGTTATGATGCTTGCAATTACACAAAAATGGAGGAGCATAATCAGACCATGAAGTAAAGTTTACAAAGATCAAATAACAAGTTGAGCCCAGACAACCTGGTTCTCTCGAACACACACCTCATAGTCATCCTCCAAGAGCGACCGTTGATTTTCGAACACCATTATCCATTCTAAAGCCACACGACACCGGTTGGACAACTCTGCATGAAGTTTCTCAGATTTGAATAACATTTCCTCACCATCCAACTTCATGCCTTCAATAGCTCGCAAATTAACCTCGACAGAAAGATAGCGGTTGCGCAAAATCAACAATCTGTCGAACAACATAGGCTTTTTGACATTCATAGCGGAAATAATATCCTCAACACAAGCAATAGAGCGAATTGCTTCATCAAATTCCTCTTGTAGCATAAAACAAGAAGATCAAGTCCCTACAACTTGGAATGGAAGCTAAGAAGCAAAGACATCAGAAGGAAAAGAAAAAATAGTGATATAAAATCTTTTTACCATCAACAACATTGGGAAGCTGATGATCAAGCAAAGATTGGATCAATGAGATATGTGACATCTTCACCTCACGTATAAAATCTTCAAATAGGTGAGGTGTCAATGAACGTTTTTACTTACGAGATGTAGTAGGAACCGATAAGGGAACAATATCAAGATCCTAAGAAAAAGGAATAAACATCAAGGTGTTAACTGGGGAAATATGTGAAGTACCTACAAGATGTTCAATCGAAAACATGTATGACCCGAATCCAACTAGCCATAGAGGTAACCCAGATGGACAAAATACCAAATTCATCCCTTTATCGGAAGCCACGTTTTCCAACATGATATCTCAAGCATATATCTCACCGGAGATATAGGCTGAAAAATTAAAAGTGCATTTACTGTTGTCTGCAACATTAAATGTAGAAAAAAGAAAACAAGAGAACAACATTTGTATCAAGCGAAATTAGGAATAAGAAGTAAAGATACATTACCAAATCGGGAAACATGAGGATTTTATTACTATCTAGGAGATTAACTCATAAAACTTGTACCTGATTTCCAGATTTCTAAATCGGGCTCATATGACAAAAAGTCAACACCACCTCAAGGAAAAAGGACCTCTTTATGCAATAATGATAGAACAAAGTAAGATATCTACACAAGTCCAGAGTCAATAGAACTTCATCGTCTAAATTAGGAAAAGGTCGAAGAACATTAAGGAGGCAAATGTTGCTTGAATCTACCCAGTAAAACTTGCTTTTCCATCCACCATTTATACCAGGACGATCATGAGAAAGACGAAAATGACAAGTAATAAAAGAATACCAATCCCCATACTTTTTTAAATGATACAAATATTGAAATCATAACACATGTAGAGGAATGTAAGAACATACAAAAAATCTTCAAAGTTAATACACTTTCAAAACAGTATTAGGGAAAAGCTTAATCGGATATAATATCCCTAAGAAGAACGATGTATGAGGAAGGCTTAACCCACATACAATATGCCTAAGGTAAAACCCTACCTTACCAGCAGGGGCATCAAGAATGCACGAAGACGAGAAAGGAAGAGCAACACCATGCACAAAAAGAAAGATGGTACTCATGGACATACCGATCTAACATAAAGTTGTCAACCTAAGAAGAATTAGACGACCTGTCACAAGCCATGGCAGCATGCAACGTGAAAATAAGGAAAGTACAGAAAATAGAAGATTCTAAAATGGTGATTATCCATTATATAAAAGAACAAACCGGTAAAAGCATTAATTAGGAATTCCAATCAAATATTGTGACGTGACTAACTGACGACAGAAGCATTTAATAAAGCCTAAACTTATCACTCGCGAGTCGTTTCGTTTATTAAAAAAGATTTACAAGTATGAACGATAAAACAATTTTAGTGCCATTTTTTTACCCTTCAGACCGAGGGGGGTTTAATGGTGCACCTAGGCCGACCCACTAGATCGATACCGACCCGGTCATAGCAGATCAGTTTATAAACAATAATATTGTAGTTGTTCAAAATAATCGACTCACGCGGCAACACCAATATATAATGAGAAAAAGATGATAAATAAGACATATCAAAGCAGTCGTACACAAGTACAAATCTTAGCAATAATAAAATACAAAGCAGTATAAACAACCTAGCTATCTTTACATGGGTAATGCAAGCTACCGGGTAAAACCTTGCATCGAGGAATACAAAGATGCCTATAAAAGCCTTCGAAGACACACTGATAAGTTAACATTTTTAGAAAAAGGAACCCATGTAATTTTGTTCATAGCTTCATCCGACATATAACTTAGGCATTAGAGGGTAATATCGGGGTCCAACCCTCGGTATGGATTTTTAACCTAGCTTTTGTCTTGCTTTTGCAACGTGTCTTCCTGCGAGCTCATTAGAAGAGGTTGCCAACAACTAACTACCACTTATCCAGATGACCACATAGCAACACACAATATCATTCTGTTCTACATACTATGGGAACCTCTTTAACTGGAGAGCCCTTTCTTATGTCATTTCACAAAATGACTTTTCTTTCTTTCTTCTTATCATACTAGACCCAACCCTCTTGGTTGGTCAATTAATAAACTCATACTCTTGATTTCTTTATCTACACATATCTACAACCATGTACTTCATCTCATAGAATGGTTTATCACAAAAACAATTCATAATCTCTGTTCCTCTTTCATCTTCCACAAAATTTATGTCTAAAAATGGACATACCAAATCTAATGCACTTAAAGTATGGATCTAGTACCAATTGTAACGAACCATATTTTTTGTCATCTATTTATCTATTTATTCTTCGATTATCAGAGTTTTCTACTAAAAATGTGGAATTCTAATAAACCAAAAAATAAAAACATTTTACATCCCATACAATAATCACGGGTTTACAATAAAAAACATACAACATAAATTAAAGCAACAAGGAAATTCAACTAAAATAACAAGCTAGTCTAAGTCCTTGTATTCCTATCTTCTTCACGCACACTAGCTACTACCTGAACCTACAAAACATGAAGCATCTATACAACACCAGACAAAAACTTATGGTGAGTTATATTCTTTTTGTTTTAATGTTCATCTACTCTTCTCCTAACTCTTTATATCTTTACATACTCTAATATCTTTCTCTTTTCTTTCTCATACTCTACAATCTAACTCTTCTACACATCTTTCTCTCATCTTCACATTTCTTTGCATTCTATCTTCTTTTATCATACTCTACTCTATTTCTCATCTCATTTATGTCTTTCTCTGTCATCTACTCTTTTACTTATACTCTTTGTTAGCCTCTTCTTATGCTCTTCTCATAATCTAAATGTTCTTTATCTTCTATTTCTTTATCTCTCTCATGTTCTACTTACTTCTTGTGATTTCTTTTTCTCCATACTCTATCTTGTCTCATATTTCTCTACTTTTTCCTCTCTTATGCATGCCCTTCTCACACTCTTAATTTCCTCTTTCTTCATCTCTTACTTTTAGTGTGCAACTCTCATACTCTATTTACTCTCCCACCCCCCTCTCTCTCTCGCTATATATATATATATATATATATATATATATATATATATATATATATATATATATATAATCTTGTACTCGTGCCTAAGCATTCTATCCTTACCTAGAACCAACGATCCCATTTCGTACTATAATCTCCTCTCTCTTAAGATCCTTGATGGATCCTTAACCAATCTTCTTCTCTTGAATCGCTCTTGGATTATGTACTATTAATCCTTCACGAATTACATTTAATATCTCTCAATAACTCTCTTATCTTGTTACAATCCTATATCCCTTCTCAATCTTATCTAACCACACATAAATCTATTCCTACAGGGAACATAATCTCGTTCACAAAGGAACCATATTCTTATTCTCGAAGAATCATCGTTTTACACTTCTATTAATCTTTCATGTGACTCATCACATGGCAATTATCCTGCGAACAATCTATCTCTTTATCTCATCAAGAGATTATTGACTATTGAACTAGTACTTAATCTCTATCTATTTCTACAAACATATTGGTATTCTACACAATACCATTAATTTACCGATATACTTGCATACATACATACATACATAGGATTATAATGCATATAATCCTATTATATTCCCATCCACATCTAGCAGGTATTATTCATAATACCATTAACATCTACACATGCTTACATACTCTTTTGTATGATTATAATAAATATAATCGTAATATATTTCTTTCTATATATTTAGGTATTTAAAAAATACCTTTCTCATAGATATTTCTAAACGTATACCTTATACATACTCTATATAGTTACATACCTTCATGCATAAATATATACATTAATTAAAGAAACAGTATGAGAGCAATACCTCACCTTTTTAGTTAGTGAAAACTAGTACACTTGGCTCTATTCTTTAATTGATGCATCTTGGCCCATCCTCTTGCTTAAGGCCAATACATACAACATTTCAAGTTCCTTAAAACTCGTTTTAGCCTATTAAGAGCTTATCAACATCCTAATGTAAAAATGATCATTTAAGTGATCATAATTCTAACATTTCATTTTTCTAGTTCTAAATTCAATCCAAAAAATAAACTAGAAATCTCAAACTACCTAACTCATTAGAATCAAATCTTCAAAGTATTAATTCAACATTACTAGTAGTTAGGGTTTCAAACCCTAACTTCTCATTTGTATACTTCACCTTGGAAATCATATATAGAGTGTGTTCCTAAACACTCATAATGACATCAATAAAAAGCTTCCTAAGATCAATCTTTCATATCTAACTCAAATTCAATCAACACCATTAAAGCCCTAAAAGATGAAGGATGAAGAAGATGATTTCCTTAGGATCTTTCTATGTCTAATCCAAGCCACAAACACCAGTGATCACTTCTTGATCCTTCGCTAATATCAAAATCGCCAGAGCTTGGCTATAGAGGGTTTGCGGGTACGTTATGACAACAATGAATTAATCTATTGCGACACCATGCCACGATGGGTCTCTCACCATGTCGTGGTGTGTCTAATATGCTCGCGGTCAGCCTCTAACCTAGCTGCAGTAGCTTTTCATAATAACAGTCTACTTTCACCACTGTACCGTGGTGCAAAGTAGGTTTCCTTTCTCTTACGAAGAAGATCTTTGTCTTGATCACTATTTTCTGTCACCGTGCCATGGTGAAGTCTTCATCATGCCGCAGTGGTTGTATGATAGTAGCATTCTAGGCTGATTCCATTCCAGCTGTGGGACATTTTTCTTCAATATTCAATCCTTCATATCTTCTTTGTCTTAAACTCGTTTTCTATGTTCTTTATATGCATGCGAATGTGGGTACATACTCTACAAAATATTTCAATTCATTTCTCACTAAATTAATATAGGTCTTAATCTATTAAGTCAC